GTTTTTATTTTTATTATATAGTTGGATTCATGGCCTAAATGTTCTTTCCAGCTCTATTTATTTTATGATTCTAAAAGAGTCAGATTTCCCCACTTTTTTATTGATGTGCTATGCAACATTCTATATTGGCAAAGAACTGAGCTTGATTAATATGGGCTGACTCACTGGCTTCATACTCAAGTACCCCATCAATCTAAAATGAACAGGGGAGAAACTGTTCATTCCGTCAGAAACTGGCGGAAATGGGAGGAGGAGTTAAATGAGACATTAGTTTAGAATCACTAGGTAGTCGCAAAAGAATGAATTTTACCATCAAAACCCTTGAATGCCAGTTGACCTTTATCTAATTTTGTCCAGATACAGACCGTTAGTCTGAGAAGACTCCTGTGCATAGACTTTAGCAATAAATCAGTAAATTGAAACCTCCACATGGGAATCTGGTTTTTTGAGCCTGACACAACTGGTTACTACATTATGATCAGTGAATCTCAACTTTGCAGTGTAAGAATTAAGCATCATGATGGTTAAGCAGGCTGTATTAAAGTAAGCAGCAAGGTTTAGTTTTGAAATAAATGCCAATCTGGAAAACAATGTATCTGGAGTCCAGAGCTTAATAATCACATTCAAACCAAAATATCTGTCATTAGGTGACTATGTCATAACTTCAATCTACTGATGTTACATATAATCAAAGGCAATTAATAATAAGAGAACAATATCATTACATTATTAAAAGACAGGATTCCCTAAGCCTTCTTATAGTGTAGTCATTCATCAAACAAGTGTTTTTAAATATACTACATAAAAATCTCCATGACAACCTATTCTGCAGATAATACAATATTTAATGCAGAATATGGTTATACTATAGAAGAATGACAGAACTAATTTAGAATACTCTTCTAGGTAAGCACCTTATTACAATGTTTTACAAATAATTATAATTTCAATATAAAATAAAGAGAGGCATACATATGGTATCTTAGCTAAAATTAATTTCTCTTCTTGCTTGTATACATTAACAATTGTCAAATGCAATAGCTGAATGACTGTTGGTTACCTAGAGGCACCATTTCTTGAAACTAGATGCAGAGAACAGTGAGTGAGATACATGAATGTATTTCCTAATATAATTTATCTACAGTCTTCCTTTTGGTGCCTTCTTACCTTCCTTTAGGAAATATAACTAGTAGACTTTCTTATACAGTTGACTGGCCATTGTGAGAAGAGATTAATAGACTAGATGAGCCAGGGCTCTAATCCAGAAGAGCAGATAAGAACTGCAGAAAGAAGAAATGTAGAAATTGTACAAAGTCTTACTGTTTTATTATCAAATAAATGCATTTTGCATGAATCATATGAGGTCATTTGAGTCTTCTCTATCCACACAAACCCTTTCTTTTCTTTATAAAACAAAGGTCTGAAACTCGTTCACAGAGACATAAAATGTTTATTGAGAAACACAAAGCCAACGTAAGTTTTTGAGATACATGTTCCTAATCTCCTGCTGAAAATATGCCTTTACTTTAGTCAACTAGTGAAAATTGACAATGAAGTATCAAAATGGATAGCTTCTTCCTTTTAGGATCAACTATCAAATCAGGGGTGTGTTTATAACTACAAAGATCAGAATAGGGGAAACCATGATATTCTCTATGACATTCTATGGAAATAAAAGTTGGACTTTTTAGAAGTAGGATAGGAAAAATATTGATGGCTTTGAATTTTGATGTTGGAGAAGACTTCTGAGAATATCGTAATCAGCCAAGAAAACAAACTAATAGTACTGAACAAATCAACCAAGAGTACACACTTAGGACATAAATGACCATTCTACTTCAAGCATAATATGTAAAGACTAACTAACCAGAGAAGGCTTTAATGCTGGGAAAGGTGGAAGGAAAGGGAAGAAAAAGATTACCACCAGCAGAATGGATGGGTTCAGCTATGGTGGCAATCAGTACATTGGGAAACTTAAAAAAACAGAGAAAATCTACATGTTGCTAAGAGTCAACATCTATATATTAACATAGATATGTTAATATAATATTAACTGAGTTAGAGCAGGCATCTGCTCCATAGGTGACTCTTAAGTGCCAACTAATAAACTAATCTTAATATTTTTGCCTAGAAGCTACGGTCAGAATCTAATATTTTTGGATTTCATGCATATAGCCATGTTATAATAATTTGAATAATGATACGTTTTTGTAAAACACAGATGACAATTGCTCAATCATTTTTAATATCATGAAATCTTCCCTGTCCTGAACCTGGTGTAACTGTAGTGTAAACTTGGTGTAACTGTAGTGTCAACTAAACCAGCGGTTGCCAACCAGTGGTCCGTGGTCCACTGGTGGGCTGTGAGAAAATTTTGGTGGGCCGCAGAGAAATGTCACCCCCAGAGCGCCCCCCTAAAACAATCCAGGCTGCACAGGAACACAAGGCTGCATTGCCCACATGGCCTGCGGGAACCCTTCCCGCCCACTCATTCCTTACTCGGCAAATTTGCCTGCTAAATTGCTATTTTTCCTCTTTTTTTCCAATCATCAGCTGTTCTGCTGTGCTGGGAGATTTAGATTAGCTAGGAAGCAGGAAATAGTTGGATCTCTTGCTTTCTAGCTAGTCTTTAGATCTTCAGCTCTGCTTTTAAGCATAGCCGAACCTCCCTTAGGACTGTCATTTCTATTATTCAGTGCAGACTCACGGTAAGCAAATTTTATGTGACAGACTCAGGTAGCCGATGGCAGTTAGATAGATCACTGAATGATTCTGTGAACAACTCAATCTGCCTGCCTGCTTTGCCTGATTTTGGGTAAAAATTGCTTTTTTTAAAATAAAAAATTCAATATTTATATAAATATTCTCTTATTTATAATTTATAGTATTTACATACATGCCGAGCCAGTCACATGACCACCAAGCCACACCTACAAATTAGGCCATGCCCACAGAACCAGTTAGTGGTCCCTGGGATTTAAAATTATGAGTTTGGTGGTCCCTGAGGTCCAAAAGGTTGGCGACCCCTGAACTAAACTAATGTGGATCAGAAAATGTTTGTCAAGGAAACTATAACCACTTTCTACCGACCAGATTCTCTTCCTAACAAATCTGAATTCTAAATTAGTCTTCCTGCAAATAATAGTTTTCTTTTCCTTTGTGATAGGGAGGAAGGATAAGCAAGGAAGGAAGGAAGAGAGGGATGGAGATAGGAGCATGGAATAAGTACAATACACTTATATCAACCCTATCTTAAATTCCAGTTTGTGCAGAAAAGCTGAAAACTACAAGAGAAGTTATCTAAACTGATCAGAGTTGAGAGCTGCATATTGTTTTAGCAGAATGCTGCATAATATACAAGCAGTAACAGGTACGTATATGTAGCACAAGCAGATGTGGAATTAGAGGTAATATAGTGATATTTAACATCTACAAAAGAAAAGGGATATCAAGATGTAATTTGTTGTTGTTTAACCTAACAATTCTTAATATTCATGGTTTTTCTGTACTCCTGAGTCGTGGTGGCGCAGTAAGTAAAATGCAGTATTGCATGCTAACTCTGCCCACAGCCAAGAGTTCAATCCAAGGTTGACTCAGCCTTCCATCCTTCTAAGATGTATAAAATGAGGATGCAGATAGATGGGGACAATATGTTGCCGTTGTAAACCGCTGAAATGTCTGTCAGCTCAGAGAGTGCTGTAAAGCACTATGGAGTGGTATATAAGTCTAAGTGCTAAGTGCTATTGCTATTTTTTTTTCATATTAGCAAACCACATTTATCACTGTACCCAAGAACATTCCTGTCTTTAGGCCAAAATTAGAGTTTGTTACAAGGTTTTAAACTTCCAGGTTCAGTATGTGTATTACACACCTCTGGTGGGAGTTAGAATATGGAAGGAGAATGAAATAATCAAATGAAAATGAAATAGGGAGAAAGTATGGGGTATAACAGTTGCAAGGGTCAGCATTTTCTGCAGAAAAGTCTTTACTTTTGGCAAGTTTGAAATTTATATAGCATGTCATTGTTTACTACATTCCAATATAGATCATTTTTCCTCATGCATAACATAAAGCTCTTAGTTTCTCTGAATATATAGTGGGAGTATCATAAAATAGGTTGGATTTTTTTCAACATCAAATAATATACCTGAAATTCTTGAACAAGCTCTAAATATTGAAATGAATACTGTAAATAGAATCACGCTTATCTACATGAGGAAACTTTCCAGAACATTCTTCTATTTAAATCTGTCTGGAAACTCCTTATCGGTATGGATAAAGTTGATACTAAAGTTTTCTGATCCTTGTAATATATGAACATTTATGTGTTTCACATGGTGGACAGGAACTGAGAATCTTGGTATTGAGATTTCAACTCACTGCAGCCAACTCATCCCAAGACAACTGGGTGTGGGACAAGAGTTTTATTTATTTATTTATTTTTGTCAATTGCTTACAAGATAATAGGTATAAGTAGAAACATAGTTATGAATACATGGATACATATAAGAAAAATACAAGAAACAATAGGACAGGGATGGTAGGCACGTTGGTGCGCTTATTCACGTCCCCTACAGACCTCTTAGGAAAGGGGTGAGGTCAATAGTAGACAGTCTAAGGTTAAAGTTTTTGGGGTTTGGGGAAGAAACCACAGAGTCAGGTAGAGTATTCCAGACATTGACCACTCTGCTACTGAAGTCGTATTTCCTGCAATCTAGTTTGGTGCGATTAACCTTGAGTTTGTATCTATTGTTTGCTCTTGTGTTGTTATGGTTGAAGCTTAAGTATTCATTGACAGGTAGAACATTGCAATGTATGATTTTATATACTAATACTTAGATCGGACCGCTCTTCTATGGAAGAAATGGTGGAATAGAATCACTAAAGAAAAGGGTAATGAAGAAAGGGTAATGAAGGAGGCACGAAATGACATGTGAATGACAAAATGTTTTTTTTTAATAATTAAATTGAATTGTCCTGTTGCGAGTTGTCTTGTGGCGAATTGGCCATTGAGTTGGCCGCAGCGAACTGACCAAGACGAAGTGGCCCTGGTGACTTAGTTGCGGCGAGTTGTCCCATTCCGCCCCGAGGCGGTTGCGTCTTGGGACTTCTAGCCCCGATACTTCTGGGTGTTACGGAACTGTCCCCGGCAGAGCTCCTGGGCTGCCCGTCGGCCTTGCCACTCTAAGCAAAAACAGCGCGGCCGACGGAGCCTTTTTGCCTTCCGCGGCTCAATTAAGAGGATTGGCTATCGTGAAGAGGGGGCGGAGTGCCGGGCGCGAAGCCCCCTGAGTAGCGGCCCAGCGAGCTTAAGCGCGGACAGAGGTGGACAAACGGACGGACGGACTGCCTGGGCCGGGCCTCCATGAACTTGCTGAAGGAGCGGCGGCGAGGCCGGCCGGAGGAATCCTGCGCCCCTCAGCCCGAGCGCGTAAGGCCAACCCGCCCGACGTTTTAGGACTGCGCGAGCCAGCGCCGCTGCCAGGCCGGATGGCCGAACGGCCGACCCTGAAAGCGGGTGGCAGTGGCGCTGAGCATGCGTTGTCGGGCCCTCCGACGTTACCGCGATCCGTCTTTTCAGCCGCTTTGCCCTCACTTGGCTGCGCCTTCGCTCTTTTGCTGACCACTGGGTGAGCGGTGGTTCTGAAAGCAAGCGGGCTGCGCGTTAAAGGGTTGCCCTCCTAAATTTGGCCGAAAGCCTGTCGCTTCCCCCGGGAGACGAAGAGGAAAGAACTGCGGGGAAAGGAATATGATGGGAAGGAGGAAATAAAAATTCATGGGGTGGGATGGGCGCTCGCTTCCGCCTTAATCCACAATTTTACTGTAGCTGCGGTGGGACGTCTGAAGGGTGACAAGGTGTTCTTTGCAAGTTAACTTCTCTTCCTCCTCTTCCACCTCTTCATTATGCACTTCTTTTTAAAGTCGTAATGCATAAAGTCGTATCTTGAATTGGTCTTATCCAAAGTAACAGTGTGTCTGGCTTGCAAGGTCTGACCAGCTGGAATGTTTTATGCCTTTTTTTTCTTTCTTTCGCAGACTTCTAGGTTGGTTCATAACGGGCTCTTGTGGGGTTGCTGTTCCTGGGGAGAATTTTATGTTTTTTGTTCTGTTTTAAGTATGATTTTGTCCTTCGATTGTGAATGAACTCTGAAGAGATTAAGGAGAAACGGGGAAGTTGGGAAGAGTTTAGGGGACACAGAAAGTGTCCTGGTTGCTTTCTTGTCTCCCTTTTTTCTTGAGATTTTCCTTTAGATTCATGGGAGAGGAAGAGGTGTTGGGAGAGCCCAGATGTGTTCCCCCAAATGTAGCAGGATGTGGCAATGAGTTTCTTCAGAGGTCTTCTGATCCCCATTTTGATCCTCAGACTAGAGGATGAGGTTAGCTGGATAATTTTGGTAGCCTAATGCAAACCAGGAAATATTAATTAAAATAATGTATTATTTTGCTGGAAGGGGGTCAGAGCAGTGTTGGGTTTCTTGTTGATTGAAAAGAAAGCAAAGCATTTTGGGCTACTCAAATTTCCTGACAATAACTAGTGTAGCTCAGCATGAGGTCTACATGCAGTTTGGCATTTTGAGTGAGGCTACCAGATCCAGGCTGCCAAAATCGTGGTGATTGTTAGCCATGGGAACCAGAATTGCCTCACATACTGGTTTCACAACCAGTAAGGCAAATGCAGACTTTAATTAAAACTGTTAATATAGTAAGGTTTCTCTACTTGACCTTCATGCTTTCTAGATCATTGGACTATACCTCCTAGAATTCCAAGCCAACTGATAAAGAATATTGGGAACTGTAGCCCATCATATCTGGACATAGCGAAAAATTTCCTAATATTCCATATTAGAGAGAGAGAGAGAGAGAGAGAGAGAGAGAGAGAGAGAGAGAGAGAGAACTAAAATTGCAATTGAAAAAAAGCATTTCGTAGACTTTTATCATGAAAGCTAATAATTGCTGTTTGCACATCAAAGATCAGTAAGAGTATATTCTAAGTTTTGCTCCAAGCTTTTTCTTCTGACCCTTGTGAATTCCAAAGCAATTGTTTTAAAATTCAGGTGTGGGCCATAAACTTCAGCCTCATGGACCAGTTCTAGTATTTGTAAATCTAAAGTATCTCTGACAGATACTTTTAGTGCTTCTTCAAAATCTTCAAATGATTCTACATCACCTTCCTTTCCTGAAGGGTCCTCTCATCCATCAGGCTGTGCCACTCTTGCAAGAAAATAGTAGATCCTGACAAGGAAATTTCATGAGCTGTCATGGAAGGGAGAATGGAGAAAGATGTAGGAGCTTGTATATACATAAATGTCAGAAACCATCACTCAGTTATAAATTTACACCGCAGATGCTGCTGGCATAACTCTTTGCTGGTTCAGAAGTACTGGGATCAGGTGGAAAGCTAAAAGGATGGGGAGAGGCAGGATAGATTGTGTGCACTTAAAAATATTGCCTGGGGCTAGAAAAATATCCAGGTAGCTGGCATCTAAGATTTTTGTTTGTAATTTGAAACACTAAACTATAAAATCACCTTCCTCTCTTATTCTGAGAACAGGGTAGTGGGGAGATGTAATGGTGGGAATAACCTTGGGAAACAGGAGGAGGACCCAAAAGAAAGGCAACATTCTGATAAGAGGCAGGTCAGTACAAGTAGTCCTCAACTTACAACGGTTCGTTTAATGACCAAAGTTACAATGGCACTGGCAGAAGCGACAGGACCATTTTTCACACTTATTGCAGCATCCCCATGGTCATGTGATCAATATTCTGATGCTTGGCAACTGACTCATATTTATGATGGTTGCAGTGATCCCCTTTTGCGACCTTCTGACAAGCAAAGTCAATGGGGATTCACTTAACAACTGTGTTACTAAAGAACGACAATAGTTCATTTAATAAGTGTGGCAAGAAAGGTCGTAAAATGGGGCAAAAATTCACTTAACAAATGACTCATTTAGCAAAATAAATGTTGGGTTCAATTGTGGTTGTAAGTCGAGGACTACCTGTACACAGATGGGGAGAACAGGAGAAGCATTTTCTGGAGGGATTTCTGTATGCTGAAAAGAGAGAAAGGGAGAATTACTTTCAGTCTGACAATATTCAAGATTCAGTCTGACAAGTTGGCAATAATATAACCTTACAATAAAATTTGATTAGCTCATCTGGGTAAGCTCTATAGTAGTAACTGTGAGAAGGATCTTGAAGGCCTAGTGGACAATCAGTTAAATATGAGCCAGTAGGGTACTACAGCTGCCCAAAAAGCCAATCCAGTCCTAGGCTTCATTAACAGAAGGATAGAATCAAGATCACTTGAAGTGTTAGTACCACTTTATAATGCCTTGGTAAGACCACCCTTGAAATACTGCATCCAGTTTTGCCACAATATAAGAAAGATGTTGAGACTCTGGAAAGAATGCAGAGAAGAGCAACAAAGATTATTAGGGGATTGGAGTCTAAAACCATAAGAATGGTTGCAGGAATTGGATATGTCTAGTTTAATGAAAAGAAGGACTAGCGGTAGACATGATAGTAGTGATTCAATATCTCAGGGGCTGCCACAAAGAAGAGGGAGTCAAGCTTTTTTCCAAAGCACCAGAAGGCAGGACAAGAAGCAATTGATGGAAACTAATCAAGGAGAGAAGCAACCTAGAACTAAGGAGAAACTCCCTGATAGTTAGAACAATTACTCAGTGGAACAGCTTGCCTCTAGTTTCAAATGGAGACTTTTAAGAAGAGACTGGCCAGCCATTTGTCTGAAGTAGTATAGGGTTTCCTGCTTGAGCAAGGGGTTAGTAGAAGATCTACACGATCCATTCCAACTCTGTTCCTGTTATTCTTATCTGGAGTACCTGACAGAGCTGCCATCAATCTTACAAGACTGAAAGTATTTCTCCCCTCCTCTATTTTTGGTTCCCAAGAAACTAGGGAAGGTCTCTTCATAAATGCTTCTCATACTTATCACCTACCTGCAGACTGAACCGCCTCTTACCAGGCTGTTTCCTTGTCTGTGGATCTTCCTTCTATCTCCCAAGGACACGCCTACATGCTATTACAGGAGGAGAAGACAGACAGCAGAATCTATAAAGGTATTTAGAATCCTGAGGAGCTAGAGTACTACACTCCTTGGTAGTAATATTCATTGCGTTCTTTCTTATGTCAGTGTGTTTTTCCTCATAGCTAAGGAGACACCTATAGTACAATGAGAACTATTCTAAATGTCATCCCTTAAAAGTCACAGCAGTTGGCCATCATGTTTTTCTTTTGGAAACAAAACACCTACCTGAAATAAAATTTCTAAGAATTCAATTGTTCGATATTACCTTTTCTTTTAGCCCTCTAGTGTTAATAATTAAACAGTGCTGAGCCCAGACCTTTGGCGATTTCACAGTACTTTTATTGTAGGAGGTGGGGGAAAGCTCCCTTAAACAGATTTGTAACCGGTGGGGGGGGGGGGGCGTGTTATGGGAAAATCTATTTTTAAGAGACTTGAAATGTAATTCAGAATTCAAATGCAAGAGCAAACTTATGACAGGAAAGTGAAATCACTGGTGACTTGTTATATGCTAATGTTGCAAACGGTGATGCCCCTATATCTTTTTCCTGAAGTGTTTTCCAGTGAGCTTTATAATGTAATTAAACCTATCAGTGCAATGGCATGTGCTTGTTAAAAGAGCCACCTTTGGTACTTAATTGTAGTTAGCCATCATTTGCTTTATTAAAAGTACATTTGCAAATATATAACAAGGCAGGCAAATCCCCCAGGAACTTAACCCACTATCTTCAAAACCCACACACAGCTCTAACCTACCCTTTGGCTGAAAAGGGCTGGACATGTTTCCCCTCTAGAGCCTATTAAAACTACTCTGTTAAGTGACCAGAGGCTGTTAACACATTAATGACATTAGTTGCTTCTTTTCCTTCAGGGACTTTACACAAAGCCTTTTCCCTCCTCTCCCTTTTTTTTTTTGGAGAGGGAGGAGGGGGGAAAGAGGGCTGACACTAATAGCATTTCTACGGAGGATTGGATTTGTTGGCGCGGTTGATCAGAATAATGCAAGCTAATGCCATCCTCATTTTCCATGTCTGTCTAAAGGCCATCTACTTTAATGCTTTATATTCAGTAGAGTGAGTTTTAATATCACCCCTTAAGGGGTGATTGGTCTTATCTGCAGCTTTTGAGATCAGAGATGGTAATTGGCGTCTCCTTTAATTTTTATCCCACTGATATACTTAGCTAAGGAAGAGCTCCCAGCCAAATGAACATGCAGCCATACCAGTCAACAAGCATAAGTTACCTAGCCTAGCCTTCTCTCGATTCCAACCGTATTGCAAACGATATCACGCTAAGGTCAAAGAAAATAGGGTGTTTTTTTTCAAGGTTTCCACAAATAACAAGAATATCTTGTCTGTCAGAGAATGTCTGTCAGCAGTTATGAATAACCGAGTATTGAACTTCAGCATATGCTCCATTGTATGCAACAATATAGAACATTTCCTGGAGTTTAAAGAAGGATACATGACTGATATATTCTAAGCTACCAGTACCTATTATTGAATCTCAGTGCCCTTTTTTTGCCACAGTTGTTAAATGAATCACTGCAATGGTTAAATAAATCATGCAGTTGTTGAGCAAGCCTGGCTTCTTCCTCTGACTTTGCTTGTCAGAAGCCAGTTGGGAACTTTATAAACCAGTGGTGGCTAACCGTTTTGGATTCCTGTGGCAAAACCTGTGTGCCCGCTTGCAGGCTTGTGCTTGCGTGCCAGCACCCAGAAGGCAATGCATGCCCCCCCATGCCCCCTACACATGTGTGTGCAATCTCTGCCATCCCCTTACCTGCACAGCGCCTTGCAGCTGATTTTTGGCTGGGTTGAGGCCTTTTTCGGCTTCCCAGAGGCTTGAGGAAGGCTTCTGCAGGCTTTGCAGGTCGAAAACTAGGCCCGTTTCGTCACTTCCAATATTTCCGGAAAAACAGGAAGTGATGAAACGGGCCTGGTTTTTGGCCTGCAAAACCTGCAGAAGCCTTCCTCAAGCCTCTGGGAGGCCGAAAAAGGCCTCAAACTGGCCAAAAATCAGCTGTGAGGCTCGCGCATGCGCAGTGAGGTAATTTTGCCTGCAGCTCGCATGCTGGCACAAATGGTTCTGTGTGCCACTTGTGGCACACGTGCCATAGGTTCGCCATCATGGTTATAAACAAATGGTGATCATATGACCCTGGGACAATGCAACTGTCATAAACTTCATGAAGAATCCGTGCAATTTCCAAGTTTTATTCATCTACCAATTACATACAGTAAAGCAAAAAATCAATTTCCTGTTCAGAATATATGCAGCATGTGTGAATGCACACGCACAAAACACACATACCATTAATAATCATAAGAGATGCTATTATAATCATTTTAACCTAAACTTTGCTCGATAGCAGAATCCTTTCTAATATATTTGGACTTTTCGACTGTGGAAGAATGAGGTTGCCACATTTATGCATCATTTTTATGAAATTCAGTGTGAAGGTCTCTATAGGTCTCTGACCCATTGGGCCTTGCCACGGACATGCTAGGTATGAGTTATTAATGCCATCTCCACAATCAGAATTCTATACAGGTCTCTTTTTTTTTCAGTTCCTCAAGATGTTTCTGATGCCTTCAAATATCAGAATAACTTGGGAGTCTCAATAGAAACCTCTACAGGTTCTGCTTGCATTAGTGTAGCATTCATAACCAGCTACTCTGTATGCTAAATTCCTGTCTGATCATAAGTGCTTTAGACCCAAAGCAATAGCCTGGTTTTATTTTTGATAAGAGAAAATTTCTTCTAATGCATAGCAGTAAATCAGTTTTCTCTTTTATCTATCCTTTCATGCATCTTGCTAGTTATGCTGCTTGTACTTGCCTGCTATAGCTTTTAATAAAGGACAAATTCTCCAAGAACAAAGGAGATGGATGTTTTCCCAATGGAAGGCAGCTTGTCTTCAGAGAGTCTTCTCAGATTTTTATTATTACATTTTGTACACTCTTACTATAATACATATTTTGTTTCTGATTCACTTCCTCTAGATGCATGCTGATTCATTTTCAACAGTAGTCATGCTTCAGCCTTTTTCCCTTGGATATTCTTCTTGTGCTCATCCACTTTGTTTTAACCTAACAGGATTCTATTTCATTTCATTTTTGTTTATATTCAGATTTTTTGAAACTTGATTTTTTATAAAGGTGTATTCTTCGCAATATAAAGTACTTCTGTTCCAGTGTCCAGTCAACCTGTGACAGGAACCATGAAGCCATTTTCAAAAGATACAAAGAAGATACAGGAATACTTGATGAAAGTAGAGAGGGAGAACTTTTTTTCTCTTGCATCCTATTCAAACAATTTATTATAAAGGTGTATAAAGATTCAGTTCAGATGTTACCATGGATGGAACTTTGTGGACTTTGTGATTCATGCCAACGGGTTCCTACTGTATCACATTTCTCCATATTATTGTAAAATAGAAAACTGCAGAAATTAGAATACATCATTTTGATACCAAAATCCATTATACAATGTAATGTTTTTCTTCATATTTTCTGTTCCTCTCTAAATACCTGCTACCTACAATATAGTTATCCAAAGAGCAAACACCCCTGAATCTAAGATAATTCCTTCTAGAAATGGAAATAAAGGTGTCAACAAATCAAATAATAATGATTTGCAAACCCCAATTTCTCCATCTTGCCAATCTTAGACTGGAAAATGCATCTGAAATCTTTCTGAATATCCCTCAGCCAGATGTATGCTTATTATTTGTATATGTGTATATACGTGTGAGCATATATATCTGGCATAATCATACTCAAAAAATAAGCACGATTAGAATGTGTCTGTGTATTGAATTAATATCTACTGACTAAAGTTAACTGCATATATGAAGGAAGCCTGTTTATAAAACAAATCATACACTTATCATTCTTTTATATTAATTTAATTAGCGATTGTACACTTATACAGGTAAAAACTAGTAGAAAAAGAAAAGTATAATAGAGAACAGAAAAGAGAAAAAATGAAGAAGTAACTTCCCACTTGTCACAGGTATGGTGTTTTTAAAATAACTCATAACCTTCTCTTTAATAACAAAAAAGTATCTCTTCATTCCATATCTCATCTCCTTATTTAGAAACAACTTTAGAAACTCAACATTCAGCTCTAATCAGCAAAAAGTCCATTAAGGGTTACCATGAATAACAAAATATCTATTTTAAACTTAATTTTAAAAAAAACTTTATCATCCTTTCTTTTCTTTCTATAGCTTCCTTACCTGCAAAGAAATCACCAAAACCTCATCATTCAATCATAATTAATCAAAATCCATCAGGGTTTATCAGAAAAAAGATAACTAGATTAATGTTAATCAAATAGATTTAAAATGCAAGATATATTAATATCTCTTACCTAAAAACAGATCCTTAAAACCTTTTTGTTCAATCCTGATCAGCCAAAAGTCCTTTAATGTTTTAAGAGATAGCAACCCATTTATTTTATCCTTCATCAAAGAAACCAAATTTATATTCCTTGTGATTCTCTGAAATAGTAATCTTTATTTCCCACAAATAGTCTTTCTTTCTTTCTTTCTTTCTTTCTTTCTTTCTTTCTTTCTTTCTTTCTTTCTTTCTTTCTTTCTTTCTTTCTTTCTTCTTTCTTATTTATTTATTTATTTATTTATCACTGTGGATTGAAGGAATTCACCCAGTGAATACTGTAAAACTTGCTGTTCCAAGGTTTCTCAATATTTAAAAAAACAATGAAAAATTAATTCCAATAGTTACTAAGAAATGAGGATCCATTCAATGTAAAATCCTTAGAGACTACATTATACTTCAGAGCTTGATGAAATCTCTCAACTCCCAGCTGTTTGGCACACAATCAACCACAGGAATATCAGTTGCTGCCATCTATTCAGAAATAGCAAGTGCCCAGAGTACATATGGGTGATCTCAATTTTTCCTTTTTTGGAAGAGATTTCAGTGGTCAGATTCAGTATCTAGCTACCAATTCAGCTATAATGTTTATCTCATTGTTCAGAGACATATGTTTGCCACTGGAAATTTGCCACTCTTTTTATTTTATTTTTTAGCCCTACCAAAACATCACTCCCAAACCCCAAATTGCACAAGTTTATATATATATATATATACATTCTTTCCCTTTCTAATAGATTCAGAATGAAGGAGGAAAGGATAGAGAAAGAAAGAGGGGAGAACAAAACTAGATTAAGAAGGTTAGAGATGTTCACACAGAAGAAAGGGGATATATTGTTGGGTATTACCAAAAGGGTTGGAATTCTAGATAAGAAGCCCCAGATCAGTATATTTATGAACACTTCTAAATTTTGGACATCTATATCTCTCATCTATTTTGTCATTTTCACAGCATCTTTTAAATTTATGAAATGCCCCTTCTTCAAAATCATAGGTAATTGTTTAGGGAAAAATCTTGCTTCCTTGTTAGGAATAATATGTGTAAGAGTAGGAGTGTAGAGCCTGGAGGAAGGCGGTGAATCAAAAGAGGAATTAGCCTAGAGTCTCTACATTCCCACAAGCAGTCTTAAGTCCAACCCCTTTTAAATTCACTTAACTCTTATTCAGCATCAAAATAGTGCTGCTAATTGACTAGGTTCCTGTGCATAGATATGATCAATAAATTAGTTTAATTGAAAATAATGTTATATTTCATGCCTGACAATATGTTTATTTTTTGTATTTTAATACATAAATATTTTGCATCTTATAATAGCGAGATGTGTCATTTCTCAAGTAAGAACAATGACCATCCAATGATCATGGTCATGAAATAACTTGTTGTTGCAATAAAGACAGAATCATTATTTCTCAAGAACAAGCCACTTTAGCCAAGATGCATGTATAACTAGCACATGGGAAAAGCCCTCAGACTTAAATTTCTTTTTCATTTCACAGAAACGAGTGTGCAAAAATTTGGAGACTGTTCCACAGGCAATCAATCCCTGCCACCCATTAAGCAACTGTTTTATGGATTACTGGGCTGTGAAGTGGAATTTGAAGGAGAATGATCTCACTGAATTGTTCAGTACTCAGATTATGAAGGAGAAACCAAGTTATATGGTATGTTTTATAAGCTGGCATCTATGCTATTAGGATCACTTTTTAAAAACAAAGATGTCAAATAGTAATTATTACGTTGTTTTGAGAATTCTGTATATATGTGCTTATTAATCAGATATTTACGGATAATGAAGCCAAAGCTACTGCCCAGCCATGTCCAAGATGTATTGCTGGTGAATCTGTAAGTATATTAACCCTCTTACTGTGACTTAAGATAGGCTTGTTCTTAAATATTAGAGCCATAAAACATAAGGTTAATAAAAAAAACAGCAATTACATTTCTCAGGGATAAAGCATGTAAATAAAAGCAGCAGATTGATTTAGCTTTTTCTTGGTATACTAGCAGAGTGCAAACTAATATGTTTCCTGCATTAGGTTGAAAATATAGGGAGTGCAGGCTCATTTTTCAAACACACTAGAAAGCAGAATTCAGTCACCTAAATTAATCTCAATGCAAGTTAAGGCATGTATTACCCTATTTCTGTTTGGAGACATTTGAGATTTACAAAGAGATTTTAGAAGTATTTCTACAAAACTGAAATACAGATATTATTCTTCGATATGTTCGAAGTAAGACGTAACTTACCATAATTCAACTAGATTCTGAGGTTAAGCAAAGTTGCTTTCAACCCAAGGAAGATGATATTCCTCCCAGCCAAAATTCTTAGTGTAAATTTCCAAATATTTTAGTGAGCCTCTTAATCCTATTCCCAGCTAAATTTTTAAAAACAGTTTTAAAGACTGAATACAATTTGTCAGAGGAAATATAAGAAAAAAAACAATTAAAACAAAGAAAATAAGACTATGATTTTAACTTGTTTTCATTAAGATACACTAGGCCTTAGAGTTGAAATCTCCATTCATATTCCTATACTATGAAAGCCAATGAAAACAGAGTTATTTTTGAACAATGGGAAAATTAAGTATGAAGAAATGTTTTATTTTGTTTCTATGCAATATCTGAAGTAGGTTCTCCTTCATATATTCCACAATGGTTTCTTGAAAAGGAGGCATTGCTTTTTAACTAAAAGTTGATATGTCTTTTATCTTAGGATAGGTTGGCTGCATTGTGTTTTTAATGTTTATTAACCATTAACTTTTGAAACATTGAGAAGCTGAAGTGGTATCCCCTTGCTTAATACTGTAGCTTTAAAGAAGGATTATATAATTTCATGGAACATGTTTTCATAGATAGTAGCTGAAAGAGGTACTACTCTTGTTACCAGCATTGAAAATAGAGTTTAGCTTCTTTTCATTTCTTTAAAAGAAAGCTGGACATTGTGTGTTTACCAAAGCCATTATTATGTTCTTTAAAAGAAAGAAAAAAATAGTGCAGATTCCATTCAGAATAAATAGGATTTTTGGAAATTGCATTGGAGTTCACACATTGTGCTAAGATTTAATATGATCTATTTGGTTTTCATAGTGAATTTTATGGAACCAACCGTTGTTGGCTATTAACTTGCTTTGTATATCAATTGATAAAAATTAATCCAGCCAACTTGGGTTATTCAGCAATTCATGCTGGATGTCGGTTCAGCCTTTATCTGAATGAACATGTCTACCTCTAATTAGTGTCTGGCTGTCTATAACATGATTAATTTTTAGTGTTTGTAACCTTCCAACTTGGACAAAACTGCAAATCTTACTGCAGTACATTTCTTCTGTATCTTTATTGTGATAGAACACCTTATCTGTATAACAAACCTTGCTTCAATTAATACAATTTATCTGTCGTTACAGGGACACTTTGGTCATATGATGGGTTTATAGAAGATCAAAGAACATTGATACAGATGATAAGCTCAAGCTTATCAAACTTATGTATAATAGGCTTGAGTTGCTAATATTTTCTTCACTTCTCTTAAAAATTCCTATTTTCAATAGAATCCCATTTTAGTTTACTTTTTAATATCTTATATTATCTATTGTTTAGGAAAAAAGTTCTCCACTTCTAATAACATACATATCGTGTACTACTAGAAGCATATTTTCCTGAATATAAGCTCTTAATTGCATTATTTTCACTCCATACATCTTGCACTGAACACCCAAAATGTATGCTGTTTTTAAATGAACCTTGACAGCGATAGTCAGAATAAGTATCTGTTTCAAATAGAGATCTGTTCTCCCAATCTTAAAATAATATCAAAGGAATTAAATTTTGCTGATTAGCAATATTCTGTGCATTTCCACCATTTAGTAAAACTACTTTCTAATACAGTCCCACAAATTCTTGGGAAAGAGGGCTGGGGAACTTTAGAATCTTGTTGGCTGAATGAATCCTATCTGAGTGACAAAAAACTTAATGTTAAGATAAGAACTAGTTCTTTTTTACATGAAATAAAAAATAAGTCAAATGCAGTTCTTTGGTTGTTGCAAGTAAACCTTATTTTAATCTGCATATTTGCTGACTATGTCATAAAATGCCCTTGAGGTTGTTCAAATTATTTTAAAATGCCAGATTAAATCAATTACTTTTAAAACAATTTTTAAAACGTATACATCAAGTACATTTTCATGGGTTTATTTGTAATTCAGCATTACAGCAAGAAGACATAGACTTGCTTCTAACAACAAAGTTTATGAAAGCACTTTATACAAAAACATTAGGACCTTTTAAAATAATATATATTTATGGTAAACGAATTAACAAAAATGCATAAATAATGCCAGCACTGTAATGTAATATCAGAATTTAGATAAAGGTTCTACCATATGTTTCTATATATTTTAGCTGAAATATTTAGCAACTGAAACCTGGTGAATTAAACTACCAATGGTTTATTGCTCCTTCTGACTTTGCAATTCAATCAAATACTTTTTGCTCATGATTGTAATATAGTTATGAATAAAATATTAAGAATATAATTAAGTAGAGGGAGTAGAATTCACTTTCGTTCTACCACAAGTTTTTTATTATGTCTTTGCAATCCAGAGACTGAGATATTTCATTTATTCCTTCAGAATGCTATCAACAAAGTAGTTTCCAAATCAGCAGATGAAGAGACCTAAGACTGCATTCTGATGGACACTTATCTGTGAGTCTCAGTGAACAAAGTGTCAGGGTTTGTCTTCTCTATGTAATACTTTACCTTCAAAGATTAGGATGGCCTTCATTCTTACAACCCTCCAAGAAGTTATAAAGCCTCTTCTTCATTTGAGATGATTGATTCCAAAGCTGCTGGTTTGGTTTTACCATACAGTATTTGTTTATTGTTTAGATATTATTATGGTATTTTAATACATATTCTATAAGTTGCTCAGAGCCTAACTGCATCGGACAATAAATACCTTAAGTGTGTTGGGAGAGACTTCCTTAAATCTCATAGGTTTTTGGCAAGGTGCATCCCATCTCATCAGGCTGATCTGGTATTGGCAACATTGGCTGTAGTGTGAGACTATTATATATAATATAGAATCTAGCATTTTGTAGATTCCATCCATGCAATCATTGCCTTTAAATTTAGGGCTGAAGCTTACACGAATCATTAGATTCTACGTTTTCTTATTCCAACATTATCTCCACATAAATTATGAAACATAGGTGGCAAAGAGGATGACAGATAAATTTGTCTTCCTTTATGTCTCCCACCACTTACTGGAAAACAAACGTAGAAGTGCCGTTCACAGATCTGAAGTTGTTGTTTGTATGTATATTGGAAGACTTCCTAGATTTTTATCAGCTATATATATGATTTATGGTATACTTTTTAGTATAACTCAAGGTTGATTTTGCTCTATAGAAGCAGTTTTAGACACATGCAGGTCATCCTCCACGTATAACCATTCATTTAATAACCAAAATTACAATGGCATTGAAAAAATGCTGTTATGCCTGTTTTTCACTCTTATGACCATTTGCAGCATCCCCATGGTTACATGATCAAAATTTGGACAATTAATATCTATATGTGGTGGTTGCAGTGTCCTGGGGTCATATGATCACCTGTTGCAGCTTTCTGACAAGCACATTCAATGGGGAAGCCAGATTCACTTAAGAACCATATTTTTAACTTAACACCTGCAGTGATTCACTTAACAACTGTGACAAGAAAGGTTATAAAACAGGGCAAAATTTAACAACTGTCTTGCTTAGCAACAGAAATTTTGGATTCAATTGTGAGTGTAAGTTGGTGACTATCTGTAAAACATGAACATGAACACAATAAGAAAACTACATTCATATTGGAGCTTTGAATTTACCTAATTCAAAAAACCTCTTTTAATGCTAAAATTGCCTATTTGGAAATAATAGATTAGGTATAGATGCATTTAAAATGCTATCCAAAGTCAAGGTCCTTGAGGTTGACAGAAAATGTCTCTGCCTGATTTTATGAATTCCTCAACTTGCTTCATAAGATCCTCATGACAGTCTCCTTGATTCATTTGGATAATGAATGCCAGGGCATCTTGTCCACTTGAGTTACATAAAACTGAATTCAAGCACCCGAAATTTAATTTCAACATGGCATATGTAAGCAAAAAATGTAGAGTTTTGAAGTCTCTTAATTACATTCTGGAAAGCAACAGTTAAGACAGTTCACTTAGAGACCATTCAAAGTAATGACATAACCCCACTTCCCAAGTACTTATGACATAGTCCTGAAGTTACAAATGTTGCAGCACCACAGCAGTCATTCACACTTATGAACGACTTTAGAGGCTCTGCAACATTAGCCGGATTGCGACGATCTAGCAAGCCACTCTACTCATAGAGAAAAGAGGCCTAAAGTAGTGCAAGATTATGCAAGATCAGTAGTGCAAGATATTGCACTACAGTACCTTAAGCCTCGGTTCTCAGCGAACCGAGGCCTGCACCAGATCCAGTCGAACGTTTGCAAGCAGCAAAATCACATTGCTTCAAGCCTCCCAATGGCTGCAAACACTTTTTGTGCCAAAACTGGAAGTTTCTGGGGGCTGTGATCTTGCACAAGATCATGGCCCTCAGAAGTTTCCAGTCTCGGTGTGAAAAGCATTTGCAAGCCGACAAGACTTTGGGGCTGGAAAATTGCATTGCTTCAAGTCTCCCATCAGCTTGCAAATGCTTTTTGCACTGAAACCACAAGCAGGCAAAGAAACTGAGGCAGAGAGGCTGGAGAGGAGATAGGCCACTAGATCTTCACAAGGTAGGTGATCTGGCATGGCAGGATGCGGGGGAACAATTGTGGGAACCCCAGGGGTGGGAGCATGAGATATCTCAGTGGGTCAGAGGTGGCCTTGGGTGGTGTGAAGCAGATGGCTGTTCCATTACTAGGTCCCCCATAGTCTTCCTCACCCTGAAATACCTCATGTGCACTTAACGACCTGCACATTTGATTAGTGAATACATGGTCAAAAGCAGGGAGTGATTGCATTCATTTTACGTGATTCATTCCATCCTCAGGCTATGAATGGAATTGGCAGGGTCCATTACATTTGCAACTGGAGGACTCTCGGTAGTATTTTTTAAACTAAGAGATCCTAGAATATTTATATTGGCATGTGTTCAGTGAGAAAATACAATTTTGTATTTTATATCAGACCTTTTAAATCTTACATTGAATAAACATTTGGGATTTTTGTCCTCAAACTAAGTATAAGTTTTGTCTCCAAATCAAATTGGACAATCATAACCACAGAATTGTTTTGAGAAATGTTAACCACTTTTTGATTTTATAATAGAATAATTAAAAATACAGATACATTGTAATATTTTTTGTATACAAAATCTAAGAATATTACTTTCCTGAATGAATTGACACAACCATTTGCATTTTGTTGCATAACTTTAAAACTTTGTATTTGGTAAATTATAATTTATTTTTTTAAGCTGGAGTATTAAATAGTATATTTGCTGTTAAGACTGTCAATTATGTTTTTAAAAGATCTGTTAATGTGTAAAAAAAATTATTATACCTTTCTAAAATTTATCTTGCAAGTCTGCCCAAGATAAATTGTATTTCATGTTCTCCCTTCATTTATTTCCACATAAATAAATAAAATAGATTTTAGAAGACTAGTTTGCTGTGTCATTGAAAAGTGGGCGTTCGTCACATTTGAAAAGTGTTCATCATTAAACAGAGTGACTTAATAGGAAAATTCTTTTTTTGAAATTTCAAATATAAGCTATCATATGGTAGAGCTGTCGCTTGCAGTTTGTCCCGTGATGATGCCTTCCTATTCTACTACATATGTTGCTTAAATTACTAATATTGAAATGTTTCTATTATCAATTAGTTTTATTTTGAACAAAGATCACAATTCTTCAAATGTTTTCATGTATTTGTGATGTGTGTGTGTGTGTGTGTGTGTGGATATATATATATATACACATACATACATACATACATACATACTGAGGTTTTCGCGGGTATTTGTATGTGGATCTTTGGTTATTCAGGTTTTCTCCTGCGTAAAATTGGAAGTATCTAGACGACGTTTCGATGAAGTCTCATTCATCATCTTCAGGCTTGTGTCTTCGGCTTTGTGCTTCTCGGAGTAATGTGAGCTTGCAGCTGCTTCTTCCTTTTAACTGCTAGTGGGGGTGTGACTTGATTGGGTGGGGGCTTGGCTGTGTTCTGATTGGTTGGGGGGTTAGCTGTGTTCTGATTGGTTGGGGGTGTGTTCTGTTCAGGTGGGGGCTTGGTTGTGCTCAGGTTAGTCTTAGTTGCTGGGGGATTTGAGCTGGTGAGCTGTGATCCTGCTGTTTGGCTTCGCATTCATGGTCGTGCCACATCTTCATGGTGGGCGTCAGTTTGCTTCATGTATGGGTCGGAGGGGTTTGAAGCAGGTAGTGATGCAGCTGCAGTACGGCTTCTGGTCCGTGGTCGTGTCTCATCTTCTGTGTGGGTGTGAGTCTGCTTTCTACGTGGAAGTGTGGTGGTAGCATCTTGTGCGGCCCTCATGCATGTGCGTCTGGTGTCATTCTTCATGTTAGGTACTCGTTTATTCATGAGGGCGGGTTTCCAAATGGCTGGTAGGCGAGAGGTATCACCTCGTTTATTCATGCTGTGTGGGCGTTTTTCTATCTCTATGGCTTCTCTGATTATTCTGTTGTTGAAGTGTTCGGTTTTGGCGATAGTTCTGGTATTTTTAAAGTCAATCTCATGTCCTCAATCCCACGACCACAGACGAACACAATACAGAAGCCTGATGATGGCAGATGAGATTCTGCCAAAACGTTGCTACAACTTTAAAAGCACAACTATAGTGACGTGGGAAAATACCTGAACAAAGCTGAATACCATAGATAGATATAGATATAGATATAGATATATAATTCTTATAGGTTGTATATTTTACAATCCAATTTGATACGTTCTCCTACTGCAGGGGTGTCAAACTCGATTTCATTGAGGGCCACATCAGGGTTGTGTTTGACTTGGGGGATGTTGGGGGGGTTGTGACCAGGGAGGGTGTGGCCAGTTTGACATCACTCATGTTGGTACCTGTGGTGGCCTGAACTCTACCAGTGAAAACGGTCTCCTAAGCTCTGTTTTCAGCTGCAATGGCCTCCTGCGACACTGCCAGTGTTGGCAGAGGCACTGCGGGCTGGTCCTTCTCTGTTTCCAGGGTGACCCCGTGGGCCAGATCTAAGTACCCCGTGAGCCGGAACCACCCCATAGGCCTC